ACGTAGTTATTCTTGACAAACGTAGTTGATTTCGGCTTACCGAAGAGATTATGAACGAAAAGTTTAGAACTATTAAAATAAAGGGAATAAAAGTTCTGAATAGAAATTATTGAGACAAAGACAGAAGAGAAGAAGAATTGATATGGTAAAATCAGTTTTATTGATCAGATGAAGAATTCAATTTAGATCCACGCACCTGTCTTTGATTTCAATAGTCATAAGAAAAGTCAACTGATCCAATGTTTTCAAAGTCAACTAAAGTATGTTCGTTTTATTCACTTTCTTTTCTCTTTTATATCATTCCTAATCACAGCAAAGTATTATTAATTATTATCCATGGGATCTCCAACTACTGGGTTCTGTCTGATATTCTTAATCTTGTTTTATCATCTTCCTTGTGTTCTAAGCCAGGAAGAACCAAATGGGTATTGCGAAACTCTGTTTCAGTGTGGCAACATCACACTCGGTTTCCCATTTTCGGGGGAGAATCGCCAAGAAGATTGTGGTCATCCTTCTCTGAAACTTAACTGCAACAAACGCTCAAACACAACCTCTCTTACAATCTCAGGCCACAACTACAGTATCCTTCATATAGACAACAAATCCAACATTCTTAGACTTTCAAGACAAGATTTCTCAGGTCCTTTCTGCTCTGCTTCTTTCTCCTCCACACCTTTGCCTCCAGATCTTTTTCAGAGTTTACCGTCTTACAAAAGCCTCACCGTGTTCTACGCTTGTGACACTCGTCGTCATTTCCTTGGGAATTTCACATGTCCGATGAAAGGAGGTCTTGGTTCGGTGATTCAAGACTCTACGTATTATAAAATGTGTGATAAGCGTTTCAGCGTTACAGTTCCTACAAGTTTTGTTCCGGAGGAGGAAGCTTCGAGTTTGACATATTTGGAAAATGTTCTGAGAAAAGGATTCGAGGTGAAGCTGAAGAAGATAGATGAGATGTTTTGTCAAGTATGTGTATCCTCTGGTGGAAACTGTGGCTTCTTTCTTTCACAACTGGCTTGCGGCAAGAACATACCAGGATCAAGAAACATCAAATTTACCTTTACCACATCATCGTATAAAGTTGGTGGTAAAGTTGCTTAATCTTGAGTTCCATTTAATGATAATCAACATTACTAGTTTATCAAATCGTATGCAATCCATTCAATTTTGCAGAAACGAACAATAATCGCTCTATACTGATAATAATCGGTACAGGTTAGTTTTCTTTGGCCACAAAGTTATCGTTTTGATTTGTTTTGAACATTTTCAAGTACTAGAAGTAACTGTAGTTTTCTGTATTTTTCAGTTGCAGGATCAATTGTGACTGTATTTATGGTGATGACTCTAGCATTCTTGTTCTGGGAGAGAAGAAAAACAAATGCACAGAGAGATCAGAACCTCGATGCGCTTGTAACCCTGAGACGGTATAGTTATGGACAGATCAAGAAAATTACAAAATCATTTACAGAAGTAGTTGGACGAGGAGGATTTGGAACTGTATATAAAGGAAAGTTACGCGAGGGTAGTAAAGTTGCAGTGAAGGTCTTGAAAGATTCAAAGAGCAATTGTGAAGATTTCATAAACGAAGTTGCAAGCATGAGCCAAACATCTCATGTGAACATTGTTTCTCTGCTTGGTTTCTGCTACGAAGGGTCCAAAAGAGCCATTGTATATGAATTTCTAGAGAATGGGTCTCTGGATCAGTTCATATCAAGCGAGAAGTCACGGGATCTAAGTGTGAGTACGCTATACGGAATTGCGTTAGGCGTTGCTAAGGGACTTGAGTACTTGCACTATGGTTGCAAAACAAGGATTGTGCATTTCGACATTAAACCTCAGAATGTATTGTTAGATGACAATCTAAGACCCAAAGTTTCTGACTTTGGTCTTGCTAAGCTTTGTGAGAAGCAAGAAAGCATTTTGTCGTTGCTCGACACCAGAGGAACGATAGGATACATTGCTCCAGAGTTGTTTTCAAGAATGTATGGAAGTGTGTCTCACAAGTCAGATGTGTACAGCTATGGAATGTTGGTTCTTGAGATGATCGGAGCAAGGAACAAAGAAAGAGTCGAAAAAGCTGGTTCGAACAATAGCTCGGCTTACTTTCCGGATTGGATTTACAATGATCTTGAAAATGGAGATATCACAAAGCTTCTTGCTGATGAAATAAACCAAGAGGAAGAAGAGATTGCGAAAAAGATGATCTTGGTGGGTCTATGGTGTATCCAGTTATGCCCATCAGATCGTCCATCGATGAACAAAGTCGTAGAGATGATGGAAGGAAGCTTGGATTCTCTTGAAGCCCCTCCTAAACCTCATTTACATTTGCCAATGGGAAATCTTTCAGAGTTATCTCGGCCATCAGAGGAGGAAAGCTCAATTTATTCACAAGTATGATTCCATGAATGTTGAAAACCTATAAAAGTTATTAAGAGGTTACCAAATTGGATCCAAAGTTGTAACTTGGGATCGGTTTTAGTTCATTTTCACTTCAAGTCATTACTGTGTTCATTACAGGTTTCGTGCTATCAAAAGTTATTACTGTAATCAGTACATTAATGTAAAGCTAGTCAGTCATTACAGGTTTTGTGCCATGAAAAAGTTACATCCAAATATAAAATCAAGACTTTTGAGTTTGGTCTGTTTCTGTCAGAAAATACATACAACAAACCTGAGAAAAAAATCAAACCCACACACATCATAATTTATGCAGAAACATATTTCGGGGCTAACGAAGAAAACAAAATACATGTAAATGAAAAACAGGAGTTACAACAAATAACCTGTTTTGATCGTTGCTTCGACGTTTTTACGTCACCAGACTAGACCTTTTTTCCTTCTAAACCTATCAACGCTCATCCGAGACTTCTCAGGTTTACTAGTCTTCTTAGATTTCTCCAGCTGACTGTCTACGCTGTTTCTAGAAATTTCCGGAAGGCAGCAGCCAAGTTGAAACGTTTCAGCACGTCCGTTCTCTGTAGGTTTGCTCTCGTTTTTGGTTGCATCCGTTGCAGCGGTCTTGTTCGAACTGTTTCTTGGTCCTTTGGTTTTGGAAATAGATATTACGAATTTCTTCAGATGTTTTATAAACTCTGGATAGAGTTCTAGATTGCAGTGCCCTCCTCCAGATACCCATAATGGTTCATACTTCTCTTTCGAAAGTTCCCAAAGTTGTTTTCCGTGAGACCAATCAACTACTTCATCTGCAGTTCCCTAAAAGATCAAACAAGAGAGTGAAGCACCTCAGTGATTTGCATCAAGACTAACGTCAAACATTGATTTTTCCAACTAATCGATGTTTACCGAGAGAGAAATGCATAGAAAGTGATTGCTTAGGAGAGGACAGATCATTCTCTATTGATATGCTTTAGAAAAATACTCAAGTTAACTACGCAATTAATATCTCATAAATTCAACAGCTTGAGTTTCACCAAACATTTTCTTATCAAATGGTCCTATTAACCTAAAAACTTTAATTCATTTTGCAAAAATCAGTGGAGGCTATGGAGGACAACTCGATCCACCAATAACGAGAAAATCAGAGGAAAGTGAAAAACAGCGTAATGGAAGAGAGAAAAAGAAATGAACATCACTCACATGGATTACTAAGACAGGACAGGTAACTGCACTGATCTTGTCGATATTCTGAAACAGAGGAATTGTGTGTGTTAACACGAATACATGAAAACCATAACAAACATGGCAATAATGTCTACTAACTTACCTTGTAAATGTCAAACCAATATGTTCGTTTAACTGGATACAAAACTCTCATCCCAGAGAGAATAGGGCTGTGCAAAACAACCCCTCTTAAATTAGGTGTCCGTGAAGCTAAATCAATTGTCGGTCCACTACCAACAGACTGACCATATAATATCAGTTGATCATCTTTTATCCCATACTGTTCCTTGAGACAGTTATACGATGCATCAATATCAGCGTACGTATTACATTCGCTCGCCTGATCAAGCAACAAACATATATCCATCAGTAAAATACATTTTC